GTAACTATTATGAAATAATTAAAAAGGTATTCGTACTTGTCACTTACGCCTGCCACCCCACGTGGAACATAAGGCGCCGATCAGAATTCTACAACCGACGTTGTTCTGGTTCTCAATTGTTTCTGTGTTATTCATTATTCTGATTCCCCTATCGAATACCTTGGCTTTGAGGATTTCAAGTTAGGACTTGCCTCGTGATGCAGTTTGATGATCTCCTCAATGGATGTCCTACCCACCGCCAGAGTCTTTCCCTTATATCCGGCAACTGGTTTGTTCTCTGCCACAGTAGGTTGTTGCTGATCATATCCAGCCAGCGGACATACACAACTGCCCATAAATACATGTACCTCTTTAATGATGGTTGTAGTAGTTCTCCAGTTTTCAGCTGTACACATCGGAGTCGTTTGAATGTCAATGTTGAAAATTCTGACTTTAGTGTTAGGTGATAGTTGTTTTGAGTTCCATATATTCTCCAATTGTAGAGATTTCACCTGCTTTTCAAATAGTCTCCTTGACATTTGCATCGGACCCTCCTTGTTTATCGATGACTGTCCAGGTACGTAAAACTATATCTCTCAGTGACTCTCCATAAGTGTGAATGGGTTGATGATCTATGTGTTGTATTCCAAAGTATGGGATAGAAGAAATGAGTAATCTATGAGTTCCAAGTCGTCTGGCTGCATCCAAGCTGTCCATTTCATTCCGTGCTTGCCCTGAGATGCGGTGGTCTTCATAAGGCATCCTTGTCTGACACTGGTCCGTACTTAAAATTAATGTCAGCTGTCCTCCATGCACGACTTTACAGTGTAGCTTGCCGTAAGAATTCCGTATGAGGGTGACACCATAACGTCGAAGAAAGTTGGACGAGGTTCTCCTATACATACTATCAAACACCTTTTCATAATCAAACAAGTTGATGTATGGTAATGATTTTCATTTCAATGTTTGTTCAACAGTGGTTCGAAGTGTTGCTATTTGGTCAGCAACAATCGATCAATATGGAATATATCCTGTTGATCTCCAAGTTGGACGTCTTTTGAATCTTTCATCCAATTCAGCGACAATCTATTCAAAACATTTCATTGTATCGATAGAAGTATGATGCCCCCGTAGTTCTCATATTTGCTCAGATTTTTTTTGGTAACTCGATGAGGCATCCTTCTTTGAAGTCCCTCTTCCTTAAACTCTTCGAACAGAACCATTGTGAAGATGTCCTCTTGCTTTCCACTCTTAATGACTATGCTGATTTCTTCTGTTGTTCGTGGATCGACATCCATGATATCCCCATCCTACAAGTGCATTTCGTGCTCCTCTGGACAGCATCGGAGCAACTTCCTGAGTGTGTCAAGCATTTCCTTTTCATGACCAGAGCACGGCAGCATCTCTCCCGTATCTAGCCTTTGCTGTCCAGCTTGTGTCCGATGGGTTTCGCTGATTCTAAGTACTGCCAATTTATATCACCTCATTTCTATTTGATCGGTATTCCCGGTCTTCCACATTGTCCGGACGTTCCATGTTTCCTATGAAAATTGTTGCTCTGCTTATTAGAAGAGGCATCGGCCTCGTGAATTCCGAAGAATCTCGGTTTTCATCCTGAGGCGTCACAATTATTCCTTCAACTCCCAGGACAGAGATTAAATGGTTTGAATAATTGTTTTTCTGGTTAGCGTTTTTTAGCGAGTTAGTTTTCTACGGGATGGGGTGGCTAGTCCCATGCTCAACCCTCCTCCTTTACCTGGACTTGGGACCGGCAGGAACTCTAGGAGAGCTACAGGCGAAGTTTGCATCATATAGTTGTCTCACATTTTCTTCTATTGCAGCTTTTTCCTGTGTTATCACTAGGTCTCCCACGTATTTCTGTCTGTCGCTTTATGTGCTTCTCTTCACTCAGTTGTTGACTTCTGTATATTTGATCTGCACCCTGACCTTCTCTGCTCTTGTTTGGCTGTTGTCCATTCCCGTTCCCTTGTTTCTCCATTCCTGAACCCTATTCATGGTTTAGATAGTAGATCTTGCAAGGCTCGGAATCTGTTGCTGAGAGCTATCTCGAATTCGTTGGGTTTTTCAGAATGTCTATGGAAAGCTGCAATAAAATCTTGTGATGCCGATCCTTCAGTTTTTACGGTGTTTCATCAGCTCCAATCTCATCTTGGCAACCACCAGATGGTGATCGGAAGCTATGCCAGTTCCTTCCTTTGTTATCCCGCCTCGCATGAATATTCTGAATACTTTATTGGAACAAATTTAATCGATCGGATTCTCTACCAGGTGGTCAGTTGAAACCCATGTTGCTCTGTGTACGCTATTGTGAGGGAATACTGTGCTGCCTATAATCATTTTGTTGAACGCAGCTAGATCCGCAAATCTCTTAGAGTCTTCGTCTCTTTCTCCTAGTCCATGTCGTTCCATTACGTCTCTATACTCGGTGTTGTACATTCCGATTTTGGCATTTAGGTAGATCTCCCATCAGGATGGCGAGATCCTTTGTTGCGCACTTAGCTATGATCAATTGTAGTCTCTCGTGAAACTGATAGTTATCGTCGTCGCTGTCTTCATTGGTAAGTACACAATATTGAGTAACACTCATTGTGATTTCCCCCTTCTTCGTTTTAAAGGATGCTCTGATGATCCTGGGTTCGTGAGATTCCCATCCTATATTTCCTCACGTGATTCTCTGTACAACATCAGAGCTACTCCTTGTGCATGTGGAGTATTTTCTTCTTCATGATTAGAGTGCAGCAGCATCTCTTCCGAATCTAATCTTTTCTGTCCAGCATAGGTCTAGCGTTTTTCACTGATTGGGAGAACTGCCAACTTGTGTCTCCTCATTTCCGTAGTTATTTGACTGGCACTCCAAGTCTACCAAATTTTCCGGAAATTCCATGCACCCATATTAATTGTTCCTCTATTAGTCGGAAGAGTTATGGGCCCTCTAACTTCCGAAGAATCTCGTCCTTCATCATGAGGCATCGTAACTGCAATAAACGAAGACCTTTGAAGTCCCAGAACAGAGTTCAAGTGGCTTGGATGATTTTTTTGTTTTGTGTTCTTCGGTAATATTGTTTTCTACAGGGTGGAGATGGTAACCTCATGCCCGACCCTACTTCTTTATCTAGACCTGGGACCGGCAGTAACTCTAGAAGATCTACATGTGGGATTGGAAATAGTTCCGTGGGTGGCTATTTATTCTGCTCCGCTACTTCACACTTTATTCCACTTTAGTTCAGTGATGTCATCCACCACAGCTTTACCATCCTAAACTCATTTAATACTTGGCATTTCATAATAAAGCTGTTAGGGAGTTTCAAATTTCCCCTTAAAGTGTTCATCAAGGCCTAGAAAACGCTTGGAGACACTTGATTCAATCAGCGCCAACCAGATGCCCCTCAGAAACATCTAGGAAGTGGAGTCACTCCTAACGTTTCTGATTCGATATTTACCTTTACTGCCACTGTACTTAGTATCGTTACAAAACATTTCAGAAGTTCAAGGTCATGTGAAACTATAAATGCCTGTATTTTCTTCTACACATGCGAAACTTGACGTCAAGCGTTCTTTTTGCACTTTGCGCATTTTCGTTTGTGTTTAATTTGCTGTGTATATTTAGCCTGGGGTTATTAGAAGCGACTTGGAAGCCAGAACGTGAGCCCATCTAGCATAACTAGAAAAAATAAAGATATGTGTCATTACTGAAAAAGTTATTGATAGTTTGAAATGTTTAATGTGAGTCACACAATAGTTGAAGAAAGTTATGAAGGACAATTAGTTGCCTACTTAAAGAATATGAAGAAGTGATAAACCTGCATCAAAACGACTTACAAACTTTGAACATGGGTTATGAGTACAACAAAACGGGGGTTTGGAATCTTCGCTTTCCAACACAAAGAAGAGGCTTGCACCAACGAGTTGCCAGTGGAATGGAAGGTGATCGATTCGGTTTAGCGCTATTTAGCATATAGTGATGTTGGCATAATTCTCTCTTCCATTCATCATAAATACTAAAATGTAACTTCGGCATTCCTTTTAATTGTTCACAATACTGTTCGCTTACGATAAATAAATATTCGAAAGTTGAGACCAACTAATCGTGTAATGAGAAAACAGATGTTATATGTAAAGTGATCCATTCATGATTTTATTGGTCTCCTCTGAATCTGTCACTCTTCCGGCATTGTTGTTGTTATTAGTTTCAGTTCATGAACTTCTTTCCACTGTTTTTTGTAAAGCGAGCCAACCTAATTTCTAGCTTAGCGGTTAGAGTATTCGACTTTCATCCATTAGGTCACAGGTTTGAATCCTGTTTCACCTGAAATATCTCTTATATCTACTGGCCCACATAGACCAAACGCCTCACAACATACCGAAAATTTTTAAAATGCACCTTCGGTTTTCTTTATTCCTTGCTTCTGATTTGACTGGGTTGTTATCCTTTGATTATAACGGTGTTACAGACAAAAGCGTTATCAAACCCTAAATACATGTGGCGTACCTGCGTCCAGTGTGCTTGCAGTAGAATTAGGTAAACAATACTCATCTTTCAAACCTTTAAATAACAAGTAACGTACCCAAAAATCACTGGAAAACCTATTCAGTTTATTGCTAACTGATTCAACACCGGAAGTGATGTAACATAGTCGAAGATATGACGAGAAAAACTAATAGATAATGCATTTGCGTGGGATAAATTGAATGCCATATTGGGACTGCTTTCCCAAAAGTCATTCCTAAACACTGAGATAACAGATAAAGGCACTATGAAGCGCAATTTGTTCACTTGGCAACAAATGTTATACTTCCACAGGATGGGAAAAACGTAAAGCGAATGTCAGGGTTCGAAATGAAGTTTATAGTAAAATTTTTACAGTCGTACTCAGCGTTCGCCTACCAATTGTACCTACAATATTCGAAATTCAATAGATGGCATTTTTATAAACTATTGAAAAATGGTAGGATAACCTCGGTACTTAAGCCGTAACCCGCCTAATCTAATTTAGGGCCTTATGGGGACGCGGGACAAAAGTCCCACCGAGAGTAGTTGCTTGGTTGGGAAGGTTTTGATCGAAGATTTGCCAAAACGAGCTATTTCTCATAATGATATACGTGATTGGTTGAAAAAGTATGGGTGCATTTCAGGTATGTGAGTTAGATTTGAGCGAACTGGTATTCAGTCTAGTGATCTATATAGATATTTCTTGCGTTATATAGTTGTTCAGCCAGTCGCTAACACTCTTAAAGAAAGGCTAGACAAGTAGTCCGTCAGCTGTCATCCTTCTCAATTTCAAACACAGTCACTGCTAAATATGTTCATGAGACAGCATTAAGTCCTATGTAACGAAATAAAACATACACTTTGTTAGTCAAATTTAATTGGTAGTGTTCTGTGGGTCATTGGCCGTGTAGACTTTGGGCAGGTTCTGGGACGTTAGCTCACATTCGTTTCCACATGTATGTACTCCATATTTTATAGCTCAATTAAGTTTCGATACAACAAGCGGAGCCTATGTACTGTTTTACAATGCTTTTAGCACTGGATGAGTCAAAGCTCATTTGCTTGACTTTCAGCAAGCGACTTAGATGCATATATCTGACTGATTTTAGGATATATCACTTGACGCCTCCAACCATTTGTGCGGCCTCTAATTAATTGCTCACATTACGGTCAGTGGTTTCCTGGACTTATCCTACATCTTAGTTCAGGTCCCTCTTTCCCTATCATATTATGACAACCAGCATTGCTTCCTGAGGCATGTGGTGACTGGATTAACATAACAAAGCCACCTCAGTCGATCAAACCTCATTCCCATACCTCATACTAGTTTATTTTTACTAATACCACAAAACGGTCGTAAATAGAAATACTTATGTTGGTTAGTGAATGTTTATGTTGGAGACCTAAAGCATACGGTTCCATCAGTGTTAAACAATGCAACATCTCACTTGAAATAATTACTGGGGTAGAAGTCAGTCACTAGTTGCTTCGGCTGCTGACCATGGTCACGGTCTCACAATATCTTTATAATCTGCCGGTTTTAGACAATTTTAGTGAACTACCATAAGTTATTGAGAATTGTCTGTTGTCTTACTTCACATGTAGATTCTGTTAGGACTCAGGTTACTCCATAAGAACCTGTTCATTCCAAGTGGTTTAGTAACTCCCAGCTGGTGGGTTTTCCGTTCTTGGCCGTACTTTTTCTCTTGGTTGTAGGGTTGCTCCATAAAGTTCCTTATCACAATACTCCTTTTAGTGTTTCTGTTACACACCCAGTTGTACATTTTTGTTCCAGAAATCGTAATATATCCGCGCTGCTTGCTTGTTCAGTTCGACTCTGATATCGAGGCCGCTGGTGCTGTTCAGTGCGAAAATGGGGCATCACTGTTTGGCACTAAAGTCTCTCTAAAGCATGTGGAAGCCAGTGATTTGAAAGCGCTGCGTCGTACAGGCCCACCCATTGATCGGTTTTCCACAAACCTGCAACGGCATTCTGGACGCGTTTCTAGTCGTGATCGTGATCGGGATAAAAGTCGCGGATCCTTGCGCCGTGACCGCTTCCGAGGCCGAACCAAGTCTCCGGACAACAAACGTTCACGTGACATCTCACCGCGTCGACACTCAAGGTCACCAGTGTAAGTCTTTTTGATGGGTTCTGTTTTCGCATTTCCGTATGCAAGTAGTGATAGTATGTCGCTTATTCTACGTTCTCAAGGGTAATCGTATTTTTTCTATCATACTACCAAAGAATACCAAAGATTCTTCTGGAGATTTTTCGTCTCAATAATAGAAATATATGTATTAAGTATGCTCAGTTTTTCAACGTGGTAATTTTCCCTAGACTGAAAAGTATTTCTCATCGTTGTCTTATGAACATTTGGATTACTTTAAAATATCTGAGACTGTTCGTGGACGTCAACAACTTCGTTTTAATTGGTCAGTAAATACATATATTTCACCTATAATTCTGACCGAAATACAATAACAGCTGGGAGAGTAATCGATTAGGATGTCCATGATTTCAAAGAAAATAGGGTAGGTAAAAATCAAGAGCTGTTTGAAAAAGTTATTTGCAAAGCTATTCCTAAGGACAGTTCATATATCAGTAGATTTCGAGATAGCTGTATTCTAAATGCAAATTAGATCTCAGATGCAAAAAACATAAAACTGACTCTCAGGCTTGACTGTTCTGTGGCTTCGAAATAGTACTTAATTCTCAGTCGAAAGGCCTTAAGACAATGATTATAAAAGACGTAATGAATGGACAACTACTACGGTTGCCTCAGAACTCATAAGAAACTGGTCGAAATTGATACAGACCTGTTTTAATCGTCAGCGACGTTCACCTCCGCCAATCCTGTCCATCTCTTCCATGAATAATCCACTAAACGTAACTTTTCGAAAGTTGGTCACTAAATACTGGTAAGTTCTAGCAAGTAAATTGAATGGTTTTCATGTGCTTGGGGTTTGGAAAATACAGAATAATGTAACATAACCGGTCTGTATTGAACCATAGTTCAGCACATTAAGGTAATGTGTTGTGTTATTCACACTATGGACTCGTAAAGCTGCAAAGTTCTTCCCCTAAAGATTTAAGAAAAGTCTGAGGGTTGATTACATGCCTCATATCACTATACTGATATCTATGTATGCTTCTGTATCCAGCGCCGTGTAGTTTGTTGTGATGCACAGCTACTAAAAATGACCGTCAGAGATCAACAATACCAATTGCATAAATATTTCAGTGGTTTACTTTGTGGCGAAAATATAGAATAAATGTATCTTTTAGAATTAACCTGGGCCGTTAAAGAGTTTTATTTTATTTATTTAATCACATATATATTGGTACAAAGGGCACCGGATACATATGCTGGAGTAAGTACACCGAAGAAAGTTTTTGGCTGCACAGTCTTCCTGAAGTTGCTTAGATGCTAGGTAAATAAACTTAAGACCTGATTCAAATGGCCATGTTTCTTCTCACTTAGAGAAAATTGATAGGAGAAAACGAAAATAAATAAAGTTGTTAAAAACTAAATATGACAAGTTTATAAAAAAAAGAGACTAGTGAATAATAATCTTGTGTCTAGAGATTAGTTAAAGGTGAACAATAAATGCGTATGCCCCACGTTTATCTGTTTAGAACCATATCTTCAACCATAAATTATGGCTATTTCACAGAATCAAACCAGAAAACTTGCAACTTGGAATGTTATGGTCCCTTTCGTCACCTACATTAAGATAATAGAATAGTTGTTTCTATAATTTTCCAATCGACTATGTCCACATTATAAAAACTTTGGATTTTATAAGGAACATTTATTATGCTTCTTAAAGCTATGTGGAAAAATAGAAATTAGATAGCAAGTATTTATTATTTTACAACGATTTTTTTAAGTATAGAACGTTATTTCGGTTTAGAATGTGATTCACAAATGTCAAACTGAAATAAATACCTTCACTAATAACAAAATCAGCTTTGTTTTTTTCTACAGAATCACTAAGTTACTTTCTGCACTATTAAGGTAATCGGTTTTATAGTTTGAAATATTTGCTGGGGTCAAATTTATATTTTTATTTGCCAACTGTGTTGGTGTTCTGATTACTTCAATTACAGCATAACGCGTACTGATCGGCGCACAGTTCATCCGCTAAACTGGTTATCAGAAGTTGCCGAACGAGACAAAAAGCTGTGAGATATGTTTAATTGTCTACATAGTTGTTTTATCACCTCATTTATCTTATTCCATGAACTCAGTGAAAGAGTGATGTTAGGACTCGATATCTTGGTTCTAATATCGACAATCATTTAAATATAAAAGGACAACATTAAGACTAACAGAAATGTGTAACTGCTTACTCTTGGCCACAGGATACTTAATGTACATCATACTCTGGAAGTGATAGCAATGAAATTAATAACAGTCAGAAATAAAGTAAAAACGAGAAATGAAAACTCCAAATAAATATTTTCAGAATTCTTAAAAAATGTGACGTAAATACTTGTGCTCCACCGCAACTTCATCTCCAATAATCGTCCTCGAAACACAATCAGGAAGTATACGTCACTCCAATTAGTAGTCAATGACTTCGTGCTTATGTCTTAGTCTGATAACCATAAGGTCATCTTGTCATACCGAAGAATGCATCTTGCACTGACAGTTGGTGTGTACGCGCAACATCTTCATGATATTTGAATTGTTAAGTGTTCACAACCTCATTTACTGATTTGCCTCCCTAACTTGTTCATGCCCAACGTTGCTTATTCTATAGTTCCGCACGTCTAAAGCCCAATTAGTTATACGTTAACCATTATAAATAATAAGTAGACATGTAAATGGTCATATTCGTTACAAAAACAATTCGGGTAACTTATAATAATCCTTGCAGTTGTTTGCTATCCTAGCAGATCCAACATTGCTCCCAGAGCATCGACAGACAGTGCTGATACCACATGTCGTAGGAAAGAGTTCGCGTCTCATTTATCAATATTTAGAATAAATATCTAGATAGAAATTTATTTTTATTTATTTAAACACAAATATTGGTACAACGGGGTACCAGATATATATGTGCCGCACAAATCTCATTTGATTAGTGTGAGGGCTGTGATACTGCCCAAGTGCCCTAACTGAAGCAGGTGGTTTTCTTAGGGGGCCACACCCGGAACCTTTGGCATAAGGGTCTAATCCGCAAGGCAGTGGAGCATCATCAGGAGACGCAGTCCCATGGTAGCCGGTAACCAACGATTGATTCATACACCATTTGTTCCCCCAGGATACTGGAGCCCATGTGCACCATTGGTTTGGAATCAGGGTTTTCCAACTCCTCTAGGCTAACTTTCCGTGTCCACCAACCCGGTTAAAGCGCCGGACATTCGCTTTCCGTCCTCTCAATTTCGTAAACAACAGTAAAGCCACGAGCAGGCAGTGAGTAGAACTTCCCTGGCGGAGGTTATATACGCGTGGCCACGTGAGAGCATTTCGAGAGGGAGAACGGACTCCCCACTCTCGGCCGTACCATGGCATTTAAGGGTTTTGAATATTTTGGAATTTTCCCTCAAGTAATCATTTTTCTTATTAAATGAACAAATTAGACTTAAAATCATCAGTCAGTATTGAATGCTGCCTCAGTTTTTGTCTTTGGAAATGAATTTAACGAATGTAGTTTAATGATTTTATTTCCTAATTTACTTTTAGGAATGGATCCAGTCTTCTTGGTCCTGCCAATAAATCAACTGAAGAACCTATTGTCAAATCACCACCTTATATGGTGGCAATAATAACCGTCCAGCATGATCTTGTTCCATATGCGGAAATTATAGAACAACGTGTTACTAAAACTCTAACTACACCAGGAAGTCCTTCTGTTACTCATATAGTAGTTCTACTGTCTGTAGATCATCTTAGCCCGTGCCTAGCTGATCTTACCAAAGATGGCGTTCCGTTCGCGATCATTTGCACTATGACTAATTGGGCACATAACTCGTGCACATTACGTATTCTTTACGCTCCGACCCAACAAGGTATCTTACTAAGTATCTGGTTTGGATAAGTATGCATAGTTTTCTTACTGTTCATGAATTAAAGGTTCAAAGGAGCATCGGACTATGTCATGTAATCACTATAATTTTCTGAAAAATTTCTGCGTTGTAAAGTGATCATTATCCCTTTTAGCTAGTTAACATTTGTGGAAAGCTCCATAAACTAGCTTATTACATTCTTCCCTAATCTGATTGGATAGAAATTTGGACTTTTACTAACATTATTATATCTCTCAGAAGCTTCTGGAAATCAGGGTTTACTGATAACACTTTTTTTGCAATTAAGTTAACATTGAAGGTAAAGCTTCCTTCATACTTTCAGCTTCTAGTTTTGTTTGGGGTTCAAGTGTCGAAGATTGTAAGAGTCTATAGATCGTCCAGAAAGCTGGTGTGTCAAAAGTTCAATGTATCAGAAATATCAGTGTTATGTTATTTCAAGTGAATCATTTGTTGAACTCACTCTACTACTTATTCAGTCTGGGTTGTTTAGCGTTAATTATCAATATTTCCGATTTTAAAAGGTTAGTCAATTTTCAACATTGCAAGTTCTCCAGAAAGTCGTTTTGGTACTCAATGAAGCTGAATAATAATCAGGCTAATTAAATAAGGTTCATGCATATGGTCAGCCAGTTGTTGACTTGTAGGAACAGTAGTTTCTTTCATTTTAACTATTTGTGAGATAAAATGTACTAGTAGAGTTCACTCCTAATTTACCGTTTAGAGCTCTTAAATGATAGTATACTGTTTCTTTTAAATGTATGAATAAGCTTTATTATGGCATATCCTACTTCGATAATATACGTTATTTGATCTTAAATGGTATGTCATCTCAATAATAATGCTGAGAAAAACCTGTGATTAATACTCATCTATTTTCATTGGTCCTGGTGCTTTTCCATTTCTTTCCGGAGCAGAGCATCGTAATATGCCTTTGGATGATGCATTAATCCTACTTCATCGAGAATACTCAGCATATACGACAAGCAGTAAAGAAGAGGTTAATACTGCTCCTCCAGACGATGCCAGTTTCTTGCCACCTAGTCGCCATTTAGCTTCCCTACTTCATATGCTGGCTGACTCTCGTGTTTTAAGTGTTGGAGAGTTAGACGAGATCACTGTCTTTATCCAGGAGCGAAAGCGTCGTCTAGAAGGCCGACGGAATACCAACAGTGATGGTACGTTTTGTAGTTGCTTCAAGAGTAATATTTGTTTATCAGTAAATCTTACATCAGTTTTTGAGGTTGTCCTTTTTTATGAATTGACCAGCAATATTTAAAGCTTACACAAATGGGGCTGATTTATTTACTGTGATTTACATTGCTTTCAGACACCTAGGTATTCCTAAATCGTGTGTTTTTGTAGTTATTTGCATACTTCAGTGGACCATTTACACAGTGACTAGAGTAATATTGTGAATAAAAAGTTATTTGTGTACTACTCTATCCATGGTGTTCGTTGTAAATCAGCGGTCTTTATACTTTAGTAGCACAGTTAATTACCTACCGCTTAAAGTATTATATTATGTTAGTAGAGTCAAAGCAAAGCCCTATCTATTACTTTTTCATGTGCAAAGCCGCCTACCAGTTGTCCTCAAATAACTCTTTCCCGAGCTCCCTTATCCAGCTTTTACCAAGTACTCTTAATTGTCTCGATGTTTGCTTTAAATTCCCGGCTCCATATGTTCTTTATTCTCCTTCCACTTTTGCCCTAATGATTCCAAGTTAGAGCTTTCATCACGATGCAGTTAGATGATACTGGAGGCGGACAGGACACAATTTGTGAAAACCATCAAACTAGGGGTTCCCACAAATTGCTGCTTATGGTATCCGGCCAGCGGATATTTGAATATCTTGCATACACAACTGTCTATAAACACCTACTTCTTTAATGATGATCGTAGTTCTCCAGTTTTCAGCTGTACACATCGGAGTCGTTTGAATGTCAATGTTGAAAATTCTGACTTTAGTGTTAGGTGACAGTTGTTTTGAGTTCCATATATTTTCCAATTAGAGAAATGCTCTTCACTCATTTGTTTGCTTCTACATATTCAGCCTGTACCTTGGCTTTGTCTGCTCTTGTTCGTTTATTGTTGACTACTGTCTTATTTTTTTAGTCATGCCCAGATTGTCCATAGAAACTTGCTCTTCTGGCATTTCTTGGGCTGACCAACTGATATTTTGAAGTTTTTTCGTCTTTAGTCCATTCCCAGTTATTATCCGATGTGGTTTCCTCTTCTCCTAGTGGGCTTGTAAGGCTTAAAACTTGTTGCTGATATCCTCATTGAACTCACTTAACTTGTTGGCATCTCAAACAAACGGTGTACTAAATTCCGTAGTGATGCTTGTCCAATTGTCCAGTGCTTCTTAAGTTCCAGTTTCAATCAAAATGGTCAGGTGTTTTTCTGGGCATTTGTCTAGGATAGACTGACCTTTATCGCGTTTTACTGTTATTGATGGTTTGCGCATAACAGTAGATGATATTCACTGTGCTTTTTTGGAGGACGGAGGCTGACTATAGTCTAAATACATAAGTGAACAATAGCAGTATATAACGGAAGAAGGAGCTTAGCTAAGAAAAATGGAACCAGAAAGAATCCTTTCAGCCCAAGAAGTTCTCTATTCTAATAGTTGGAGAGCCTTACAGCAAAATCACCATTGGATTTTACTCTGAGTCATGTCTGATAATGTCTCAAGCCACAGATTTACACCATCTATCGGACCTAACCAGAGAGTCCTAATGGATCAACATGTACCAGTCATTAGTTTGGACGCAATCGTAAGTAGGGTTTATACCCCGATAGTTGTCACATAGATGGCGACGACAATCGCGTCAAGATGATGGAATGCACTGTTTCCCAAACAACCTAATCAGTTCTCTGACTGGAAGGTTGCTACCATTGTTAGGAAGAGCTGGAGGTAAGTCGTCTGAACCTGAGAACTTTTGGTGCTTCAGGATTTAGATTTCTTTGCGGGCTTACACCTCGTCAGGTGGCTCAACCGATACCGGCCGGAGAGAACAGAACAAACTGGTCGATGTTACTAGGAAAACAGACCAACTTGACTATCGACGAGCTTTAATGAGTTATAAGGAGCCTTCATAAATCCAGTGCTTATAAGCTGAACGTTTCGCAAAGCTGCAAGAGACGTGACCCACCATTTTCATGACGTCGTGGAAAAGTAGCCAGTACTAATCTACATTTTTCAATAAGTGCTTTTCCTAGGCGGCTACTCTCTGAGCCTTTGACTTAGAGAACTAATCCATAGGACAGTGAAGAGACGTCAGGAAACGCAACCTCCTGTTAGCCGGGAACCAAAGATAGACTCATGGATCTTTCATCTCTTCGCGATCCTGGAGCCCATGTACACCATTGGTTTGAATTCATGGTTTGTAAACTCCCCTCTCTGTATTTACCAACTAAGCTTAAACCCTGGACGTCCATTTTTCGTCCTTTCACTTTCGTAAAAAGCACTCCCGTTGTGAATAGGACTTTCCTTTGAGGTGGTTGTGAACGCGTTGTCATATGAGCGCATTTCGAGAAGGAGAGTGAACTCGTCTCACCCTTGGTCGTAGAAGGTTTTTAATAGTAATTAATTATTCAGTATTTCTTTTAAATCTTCTAATATCATTTATTTTTCTCTTGGGTGTTGTCATCAACTACTTTTTTTTCCACATGAATTCGTGTTTCTAAAAGTACATGCTGGTGACTGTTTTGGTCATTATAGTGGATTTGAAAAGTCGAAATTATAATAGTTAAACTTAAAAATATTATTTATTGCTTTTTTCTACTGTTCCCGAATTCACCTCTTTTTTGTGCTTATGAACAAAACTGTGAATCTATTAATGCATAGGTTCCTTTATCTTATGACAAACTGACTGACGCTTAGGGATACATTCACGAGTTTCTTTAAATAATGTCCAATACTTTTATTCTTCTGATACTGTCCTTGTTATCACACATATATATTTTATTGAGAGTATAACTAATGTCTTTTTTCTCTCCTGGTTTTTTTCTTTCTAATTGATTCACAATAAATGTATCGCGTGAATGTGGAATTCTTGTATATCACGTCATTGTTCACGCTACCACTTTTAATCCAATTGGTCTTCATATCCTATTTTATAAACAAACAAATGAATGAATGGCATACATTGACCGCCAGCCGGTGCATGCAGTGAAAATACAGCTGAGCTCAAGTCAAGAATTTTAAGCATGCTTTATCCTCAGCCTGTTAGCTCTACTGTAACTACAGACACTGCTTCTTCCAATCTACCAGTTGATGCGGCTCATCAAACTCAAGATTTAACAGCTACTAGTATTGGAAGTAAATTAGCTGAAAACTTAACTAACCCTATTGTACAAAAAGCCATAGATACGTTAATGTCATATCCTTCAAACTCTATGCCTCAAACTTCAACGCAAAAGTCACATAGTGCTATGGATACACAAAATATGCAATCTAAGAACTCTTTTCGCAACAGTATAAAGCCGCATTCTTCATTAGCGATTGCTGCATATCCACCCAGTTGTATGAAACAACCTACCAGCTGGAGCTATGAAGATAATGGTTTTCGACCAAGTCGACCACTCATTTCCAATGACTTGAATCAGCATGTCCCTTATGGACAGCATACCAGACCTAACATGATCCAGCAGCGTGAATATCCCAGTGACGAATCGCGAAAGGGTGCTGGTTTCATAGAACATGGAGTTCAGAGAGGTGCTTATCACTCTGAATTCGAAGTAAATGAACCAGTTCTTGATTCAAATGAAGAGTTCACAGAAGAAAGTGCTTATCCAGGTTGGCCCAGGAGAAAACGAAAAAAGCGAGGTTGTAAAGCTCCCTCGGGGGATTCGTATCAATATCTGGACCCTAAGAGTTTCTCACGTCAAAACGTTGACCAACAATCTCAACAACCTGTAGATCTTATGTCTACGGAGGTTCATCCAGTCGGTACTGTAGCCGAAGCATATAAATATTCTCAAGCTACCCCCCTCATATTCAATTCAGGAGTCCGTGGTAGATCTCAAAGAATAACCGGTGGAAGTTCATCCTATAACAATTACAATTATCAATCATTTGGATCGCATCAGCCGAATAATTTGAATCTTCATACCCAATTTTATGGTTATCCCAATCCATCTTCATTTTATTAGCACTTCTACGAGTAAAATCTGTGTCCTGTAAGATTAGTTCAGTTTTTTTCAACATATTTACATTTAAACATATTTTGCTAAATGTTATTGTAATTAATTTTTTAACACAAAGTGCTCATATCAACTTTTCTGGGAAGATGAAGAAGGCAAAGAAGATACAAACAAACCTACATAATTTTCTTTCCATTTAGAAAATGGGTTGATTTTTTTAGTGTTTGTATTGTATCACGTCATCCTGTATTGTTAATTAGAATTCATCATTTTCACTATCTTTGGCTATAATAACAACATAATTTGCTTCAAAAATTATTCTTGTTGAAATATATTCTGTGCTGCAGTATATGGTTTATTGAAATTCCTTTTACTCCATAATGTTTTAGCCGTTACAGTTCAAGTAGTTTGCCCTTGATTATATTATCAAGATTTCACTGTTAATATTGACCCTGTTAGTTAATATAGCCAAACCCCCTTTTTCATTCCCTACTTTGGAACAGTAAGCATAAAATATGCTTCTGTTCAAATTAGTCTATTATTTACATTACCAACCTATACTCCAATAATGGTTCCTGTCAAATGCCGAACTTCCAATCATTCATTGAGTCCAATACTCTCTCGTAATAATGCAAATTCTTAATATCCACTACCATCGAAATACATACTGTCTACATATAACTTTAATTTCCTATCATAATAATTCCACATGTTGTGAGGACTTTTGAATACAACTGGTATGACTCCATAGCTTTGATAAGTAGTATTCTTCTTCGGGCACACTTGGAACGAGGAAGGAAGCGTTAAAGTCTAGATATTATCAGATGGTATTTAGCTAGATCAAGTAAACAGTAAACAATCTCCACTCTGTCGTTCCTACTTTATAGTCATTACATAATACTTCGCTTACAAGTATTTCACTCTATCTGCTCTTCGAAAATAAGGCCATATGGAAGATACAGTAAAGTAAGATAATTATTCAAGATATAAAACCTATTTCAACTTCTTTCTATTCACCTACTTAATAGTTTAGAGTAAAATCGGTCTCTAAATAACTTTAGAATCTTAAGTTATCCCACTTGTTTTCTTCATACTCATTTTTGCTATTTTCCGTCTTCATAATTTTCTAACTAACAAATGAGTTTAAGTTTGCTATTTTATAAATACCACCTTTTCACGTCTGCTCTGAAGACAACTGTTTGGATAAGCAGAGATGGATAGTGGCTAGCAGTGGAATCCAGGACGCGCGTTTCGTCCTATTTGGGACTCGTCAGCTGGATGTACCTGCATCTCAGAGTTGATGTTCACTCTGGGACTCGAACCCAGTACCCTCGCTTCAAACGAAACGCGCGTCCTGGATTCCACTGCTAGCCACTATCCATCTCTGCTTACCAAGCTTGTGAATTAAGGTATATCGAGGCAATACGCACAGTATGCACATATGCCAATTAGAGACTGACCAGTTGCAGTCCTAAACACATCGATGGGAAGATCGAAACAAACAATACTAAGTGAACTGTTTGGATAGTTTCCGCTATTACTTAGTCAAGTAATAGTCATCATGTGCAAGTTATTAGTGAAATCAAGTGTTCTGTTCGATGGGCTAATATTATAATTACGAACTCGTAGTACTCTTTGTTTGAGGATTTTCTTTTTAAATACACTCGTATAAGTTCACTTCTGACAATCTAATGCTGAGATCAATAAAAGCAAAATTTGATCCTCTTCCTTTGTTTCATTAGGTGTGTTAATTGTTGAAATTATTTTAAGGCAATATGAATGCTTGTAAACTCAACGCAACGATAAATAACTTAAATTCATTTCCATAAAGTAATTTTATGAGACGATCGTCTTCAAATCACAAAAATAAGTCAACACAAGTTGTTTCACTGTTGTGATTTTGTTTCGACTCACCTCAAATGAATTTTATTCTTTGTTGATGTTAATATTCTATACAATAAAATCCTTCATTCGAAACTTCTCCTTTTCTTTCAGATTAATTAAACTTAATTGCAATAGCCATATAAAACATTGCGTACAAACTTTAATTGAGTTCCATACTTATCTGAGAATGTTGAAATCAGCAGTAAGCTAACTCATATATCTTAAGGTTGCTCAATAACACCAAGCTTATTTGCTACAGTTTTTTTATTAACCACATCGCTTTACTATTCGAATACGAACATGCATTAAATTTTATCTTTTGCTGTCAACGAACAAGAATGCATACAACGTATGAAAGCTGTGATTTATTTTTCATAAAGGGAATAGTTCTAGGTGTTCTCATAATGACAGATTTCCAACAATTAGAAAATTTGAAGCTTTGCAAATATTCATTATAAGCCTGGAATAATTACCAGTTTCTACTTATACAAACTGAACTGAGGAATCATTCTATTTTCGACTGAATTACTCGTCACATTCCGACTATATACCAATAAATGGTAATATAAGTTGATCGTTTTGGTGCGCGATAATCTTATTACAAATGATCTAATTCAGTCTCTTTATATCTGTTATTTGTCAGAAAATTTAGATGTCAATCTCTCTTGTAAACTACAAAAAATCAATTTTACAGTTATCAAATTAATCCAGCTAATGTTTTCTCCATGTCTTATTAGACAGTTTTGGCCTTACATTCGAATAGGTTGTTAGCCGTATGGTAGATATGGACTCCTGGGTGCATCTTTGTTTTTTTTTCTTTACCAAACTCAGCTTTGCTAATTCTGTAGATAGTACTCCGCTAGATATGATCTTCAGTAGACGTTGTAGCCCTTCAATAAACTAATGATAATTGTTCGCTAAAGATAGCCAATCATTTTTCCTACATATCTTCATTAATTGATAATATTCGCTGAGTCTATAAACTTTGTTGTGGAAAAATACTGCGCTTTCTAGCGAAAAAACGGTAGATTGTGCAAATTAATTTAAATGACTACGTCATGAATTAACCTTATAATCTACAACAGATATAATAGCAGAGATATATAAGTGGTTTTACGTATTTAAAAACGACAGGTGTAAGAATGTTTTGTTTCGTTCACTAGGTTTTGTGCTACGATGTGTTTTCAAGAATGTTATTAAACTACAGTATTTCATTCAAAATGACCTTTTGGTATTAATTTGGTGGTTGTAAGTTACATTGATTGGCACACACAAGGAGCTGCACCTCAATAACTTCATTGAACAAATGTATAGAGGTTTGAGTATATTATAGTATTGGTTATATGGTGATGATTGCTGTGTTTGCACAAATTCCAGTTTCATGGTAAAAGCTATTAGTAAGGGAAATTCTGTCCAGTCTCAAAAATATTAGACGTAAGTAAATGATATTAAAGGGGAAGTTATGTTTTTGAAAATCTCTGGGATTAAACTTGAATGGCTCCAATCTTTCTGCCACGAATCTGACCCGAACTCTTTCAGGAAAACGATCGAAATCAATAAGTATAGATCGATTCATATGACCTATGTAGTAAAATATCCTTCACTCATCTAAAAAAGTTGGGTTTTGTAAAACTAGTTTACTCATGTAAGTCATGAGACGTAAGATATGTCCAACTATTAGTAATCGATCCTTTGTATTCGATAATTTTGATTGTTTCCCTAAATAAGCTCGCATCGGACTGCCGAGTTAGACGGGTTCTTTTTTATTTTAATCACAAGTTTTCACAGATATGATCTTTATAGTGTCTACCATACGTATAGTGTCCAACTTACTGCTGTTACCCCTTGTGAAGGAGCATAGGCTGCCCACAAGCATTCTCCATCCAACCCTGTCCTGGTCATTCCTTTCTAGTTGTTGTTCATCCTTTTCATATCTGCTTCGATTTCCCGACGCAATGTGTCCTTTGACCTTCCTGTTTTCCGCTTCCCTTCAGGATTCCAAGTTAGGGCTTGCTTCGTGATGCAGTTTAGTGATTTCCTTAATGTGTGTCCGATATACTTCCAATGTCTTTCTAATTTCCTCTTCATCTGGAAGCTGGTTTCTCCTCTCCCATAAAAGACACTGTCACTGATAGTATCCGGCTGGTGAATGTTGAGTATTTTGCATAGACAACTGTTTATAAATACTTGTACCTTCTTGATGATGGATGTAGTAGTTCTCCATATTCCAGCTCCGTACAGTAGGACTATCTTGATGTTCGTATTAAAGATTCTCACTTAGAAATTAGTTGACAGTTGTTTTAAGTTCCATATGCTCTTCAATTGTAGAAATGCGGTCCTTGCTTTGCCAATCCTCGCCTTTACACCTGCATCTGACCCTTCTTGTTCATCAATGATGCTTCCCAAGTTCGTGAATGTCTCCACATCTTCCAGACTTTCTCCACCAAGGGTGACTGGGTTGGCGTTCTCCGTGTTGTATTTGAGAATCTTGCTTATTCCCTTGTGCATGTTGAGGCTTATTGATGCAGAGGCTGCTGCTACATTTGTTGTCTTCGTGTGTACGAGATCGAAGGGCTAGGTCATCTGCGAAGTCCGAATCGTATAATTGATTCTGAGATGTCCATTGTATTCCGTGCTTCCCGTCAGGTGTCGAGGTTTTCACAATACAGTCAATCACCAGAAGAAAGAGGAAGGGAGAGAGTAGATAGCCTTGTCTGACTCCGATCCTTACTTGGGATGCGTCTATCATCTGTCCTCCATGCACGTCTTTGCACTGTAACTCGTCGTATGAGTTCCGGATAATGTTGACAATCTTCTGAAGTGCATTTCGTGCTCCTCTGGACAGCATTAGAGCAACTTCCTGAGTGTGTCGAGCATTTCCTCTTCATGACCAGAGCACGGCAGCATCTCTCCCGTATTTAGCCTTTGCTGTCCAGCTTGTGTCGATGGGTTTCGCTGATTCTAAGTACTGCCAATAATGTCCAACTTATGTGGAACTATTCACTTAATTTGGATAAAACGTTACTTCAAGAAATATTGTTTGCCAATAATGTGGACCTATATCGTTTAATATTGTGTTCGGTTGAGTAAACTTTTGAAACATAGATAGTTATCTGGATTCTGAA